CTCTGACCCAATGCTCCAGCTTACAGAACCCGCCATGCTTGGGACTCCTCTGGCAATAGGACGCCGCCTCCAGCAGAAAGTTCGCAATCTTGCAGTAATGACGGGGCAGCAATTCCATGACCAAATGAGCGGCGTGCAATTCCAAGGCTGCCCTTCTAAAATAAGCAAGGACACCCAGTGCATGCTTCGCCTACTTCGCAGCTGCCTTGTACGCCAAAGCAGTCGCACCGACCCGCGACCTTCTCGCGGGCGGTTGCCAGGAGACACGGCTAAAACTTGCCATTGGTTCTGCGCTGCGTGCAACGTGGGAGGCCCCGTGCTTCGCCTCATACTCGCACCTGTCGAACAACTCGCTCTCGGCCGTATTCAGCACCGCATCCCGCGCCTCTGCCAACTGCTCCGCCTCCTGGAGGTTAGAGATAATGCGCAGAGGCCCAGACCAGTCCTGAGCACGACGCGAACAACCAGGGTGCGGTGCAGCGGGTGTCCTGCGGGGGGCGCGCGCGACCCTCGCTCCCATGTCCAAGTCCTCCGCCAGAGCGGGAAGATGGACGGTAAGATGCGGGGCGGTCGTGCACGCCTCCTGCACCTCTGGCCGATGCACTCGCGTAGCCAGGTTAGCAGGTACCAACAAAGAATCCAACTCCGCATGCTGCTCAACCCTGGTGGACCGACAAGTCGCCAAGTTAGGTGTCACAATGAGGCCTCCCAGCTGTGGTAACCAGGGCACTTCCAACCGCTGACGATCCATGTTGAAGCCACCTGCGACGATCCAATCGTGCTGTGCTGCCGTGAGCTTGGAAAGATAACGCGCCAGTTGCCAAAGCACATCCCTGTTGCAATCGTTCATGCCCGCGGAGTCCTGCAAGTAGATGGACAACAAACTTACTCCACTCTTAACTCCCCAATGTACGTGTCCCGCAGATAACCTGCCTGGAACGATGACGGGATCAGGCAAGAACGGGGGCAGCGTCATGGGGATCGGCGTCTTCGCCAGGATCGCGACGCCTCGTGTGGTCCCACTCTCCGATGAAGGAATAGCCTCTCACCAAATGCCGTCGTACCCAAAATCCCGAACCTGCCTCTGGAGAGCACCCAAGTCAGATCCCGAACGATGGTGCTCCTGAAGAACAACCACTGCGACGTCGCGATCGAAACTCTCCAAACACGGCTCCAAAGAGCCCCAAGACGTAATGTTCATTGTGGTAACGTATCCTTTGGTCTTGACCAGAATGCACATATAACAGAAAAACGCGCCAACATATTCGAATATCTAATATGGGCCCGACTTGACCATGCGTTTGGGATGGAATCCCTTTTTGGCCAACTTCCTGGCCATCTCGCGTATAGCCTCGTCCTCAGTAGCCTCGTTCGCGGCGTCGACGTCCACCGCCCCAAGACTTTCAAGCTCCTTCCGCAAAGTAGGACCATCAAGATCATCTGGCTTCCAAACCTCGCCCAGATCAGCAGGATCTCCCGCGCCCATTGGAGCGCCTTCACCAGATGCTGGAAGATTGTGCCGCACATCACTGGTAGCCGTACGTTTGCGCGAGACGAACACCTCCTGCAGCGCTCCTCCAATGCCCTTAGACAATCGCTCACGGGCCTCCTGCCCGATATCAGTACCTTCCGTAGCCTTAGGTACCAATCCCCCCAGCTTCTCAGTAGATAAAGCAATTACCTCCAAACACGCGTCGCCCTGCTTGGAGTCGCCAGGCACGGGCGCCGCAGGCAAACGCTGCTGCAGCGCGCCCAACTGCTCCTCCAGCTCGCACAGTGTGACCTGAGCCTCCTTATGATTCTTCTCAGCGCCCTCCACGGCCAACTTCGCCGTCGCAAGCACCGCTTGAGCCTCTTGCACCTTTCCGAAAAGCTTCTCGCTCTTGATGCGCTGCTGCCGCACCTTAATCGCCAGGACGTGGGCCAGTGCGTGAAGAGGTTTAGCAGCGTGCAACTCTGCACGGCGTTGCTGTAAAAGCTGTCCAAGAGTCGCTCTCTGCGCAGTAACCCACTCAGAGGATAAACCTTTGATAGCATCCAACGCCAGCTCGAGCTCCTTGGCTTCCTCAGCCTTCTTCTTCGCGACGTCATCGTTCTCGCTGTCAACAGGCCCTTTTGCATCCACCTGCATCGTCGATGCCTGTTGTTGGGGTCCAGCACTGCTCTCCGCATGATTGCCACGGAGGGTCGCCAGCTCATGCTGCAACTGCGCGATGAGCTTCTGATAGTATGCTGAGCCAGCCGAACCACGAGGCGTGAGAACACCACCCGCCAGCTCCTTCGTACTACCTTTGCCAACTGTGAGCCGCTTCTTGGAAGGCGAAACAGGCTTAACATTAGCTCTGGGCATAAGGCAGGCGAAGCACTTGAGATTCGTCCCCCAGTTGATGAGCGGTTTGCCCGACCTGGGATGCGTGCAATCTTTGCAGCACCGATCTCTGCGCTCCTTACCCTTACCCGCAGACATCTCCCTCGCATCCGCCATGGCCCCAGCCACACAATCGCTCCGACCACCCAAAGGCAGCCGAGCAGGCACAAGAGGAGCAGCAGGGGCAGCGTGGGGCAATGAAGGTGTGAGCAGCGGCAGGCCCCCGAACCTGCCATGCTCGTAGTCGTTGATATCAATGGCCCGCTGACGCAGGCCGCTCTGAAGATTTGCGTCAGCGAGCACAGGTCGTAGACCTGAACCAGAACGGCTGACGAGGAGGAGGAGGCGGAGGAGGAGGAGGATGTCATGCTGTTGCATCAAGTTTGCGCAACGTCAAAACAGACGGAAGAGGAGGAGGCGGAAGAGGAGGAGGTGGAGGAAGGAGGAGGAGGAGGCCGAGGAGGAGGAGGCAGAGGAGGAGGAGGAGAAAGACGGGGAGGAGGTGGAGGAAGAAACACCGGTAATTTTCGCGGGGCGCCCTCTGGAGCCATGCGACTAACCCCAGTAAATCCGACAATTGTGAGCCGGCGCCCCTTACGGAGTATTCAGAGTACTCGAAGGGACCTGAGGGCACTCCCCGCAATGCGTACGGTACGGTGGCGGATTGAACCTGTGTAGAAGGACGAGGGCGCGATGGCTATGTCGCGAATCTTCTCGTGGAGATTGCGAGAACCTTGGGGGCTTCCCCAGTATGGGGCGAGACGTGGCCAGGCATCCCGCGCGACACAACATTGTTATAGGCTAGGCGTCGCATGCGCTGTTCCACAGTGAACAGCCACTTGCGTGTTCCACGGTGCCGATCCCGTAGTGCCCAACGAGGGGCTGGTGCTGGCGACTTTCAAGAGGACCCCAGAGGAGAGATATTGATGCGAAGTGCGGGGGTGAAAGATCAAGCGGAGACGGTTGAACGTGCTGCGAACCAGAGGTATGCTTAAGTAAGTTGTTCCAAGAGTTGGACGTTGGAATCTGTAAAGCCCGTCACCGCTTCACTCGTGAAGCTGAGCGCCTCGGGGGCTCAGGAATGTGGGAAGCAGTCCACATTCGCCAGGGAGGCCACGAGTTTCAAGAGTTGTGCAATGAGACTGAGGTGCAACTATTAAAGGCAGATTATACGGTCAGGAGCTTTTGCTTGGCGCAAAGGAATATTTAAATCCCGTCACCGCCACGCTCGTGAAGCTGAGCGCCTTGGGGGCTCAGGATTGGGGGAAGCAGCCCGCATTCGCCAGGGAGGCGACGAGTTTCAAGAGTTGTGTAATGAGACTGTGGTGCAAGGATTCAGGCATATTATACAGTCAGGAGCTTCTGCTTAGCGTGTCGCTCCGCTGGTTCTGGCCTGCCACGATTCGGCGCGACACGCTAACCACGTCCCAGTCCCTAAACATCAACTTCCCGAACCATTTCCAGCCTTTCACACCGCGGAGTGGAGCGACAGGCTATTTGCTCGCAGGGTATAGCTCGACGGGGCCGCCGCTGCGACGCTAAGGACGTTCCTGACTGTATGTCGTGGAGACTGACATGCATCGCGCAGTACATTGCACACCCACGCGGAGGCCACTCGACGATGTTCAGGTGGATGGTGTGGCTACATGACAGAGGTTCCGCACGAGAATTGCGAATGCAGACCAGGCGCATGGATACCTACAACGGTCCGTAGACCTCGGCTGGACCGTCAAAATCCTCAGGGGAGTACACCCGCAGCGGTCAAGCAGCGTGCAGCAGTCTCGTCGTTGTGCTGCCAAGCGCAGATGGAGATTGCCACGTTTTCGCGAGGGGCGTGGCGTGTGTGTGTGTGTCTGTGTGTGTGAGGAGCGAGTATGTAACCATTTCCACGATGTCGGTCGCGAGTTGAATATGACGATCGTCATTGGCTCGAGCTCGGGAATCTAGTTTTGCATGTATGTGAAGCCTCAGCAACCACAGGCGCATGACCACATGATACTTGTGGCTGCCTGAGCAGCTGGTCGCGAAACTGGTTGCACTAAAGCAGATCGGGGGGGGGGACCAACAACCCCGCCGGACCTGACGGCGTAGCCGTTGGCAGTATGGAGACAAAGCGCTACGCTGAGGTGCGTGGCCTGATACCTCGAGGGTGCCATGCGTGTTGAGGCCAGGCTGGCCCGTTCTGCACTGCGTGCTTCAGGATCCTTTGGCCGAGCCAGAGCCGAATCGTTGGCCAGAGTCTGAACGAAGCAGGGGGCTCGGAGGACGTGCTGCCAGAGTTGAATCTCCGAGAGGAGACGTGCCTCGGAGGTTTCGAAGGCGCGTGGCACGTGGAGCGCAGTGCTCAAAGGGTGATCGTCTCTTCGGGATTTGATCCTTGGCTGGGCGGGACGAGGGAACAACACGGTACGTTAGATCTCTAGGTCACTCGCGGGCGCGAAGGTAATCGCGCTTCGTGCGTCCTTGCCTGTGCCAGAGCGGTTGCCCTTCTCCAGACCCCACGCGGCCCCCGAGAGGCCTCAAGAGGCTCCCGAGAGGCCCCGGCGACGCGGTGCCAGCGCCCGCCCGCCCGTCCGTCCGCCCACCCCTCCCCCCGCGGCCGCGGCCAGCGGCCGCCGCCGTGCCAGCGCAGACCCCGGGCGGGGAGGGGCGCCCAGGTGCTGCTCCTCTCCAGCCAGGCCGGGGGCGACGTCGAGGGGGCAGGCGCCCCATCCCCCCCCCCTCTTGTGTGCTGCTCCACGACCCGAGGCCTCTCCCCCTCCTCCTCCTCCTCCTCGTCCTCCTCCTCCTCCTCCCCCTCCTCCCCCTCCTCCTCCTCCTCCTCCTCCTCCTCCTCCTCTTCCGTAGCCATTTTGGCTCAAGGCCCCTCCGTCCCGTTGCAGCAGTAGCGGGGGACTGCGCCGAGAGCGGGCAACCTTTCTTAAGGATTTCTGGCGCGTCGGGCGCCAGCGGACACCTTTCCATCACGAATTTCTTCTTTCTCCTTCCATGGGCCTCCGCGGCCGCGCTGGTCCTGCAGGCGCCGACGAGGACGCCGACGCCAAGAGCAGGAGTGGCGAACGTAGGTCTCATCGTGCTGGAGACCGAGACGACCTTCAAGAACAGGATCCCTGGAAACATCACCGAACTGGAGCTGGACTTCCTCCTTCTGCTGTCTCGACAGCGGGCAGCGCGTCCAGTGGTGGTTCAGGTGGAGGCAGCGCGGATAGCATCATCAACAAGCACATGGAGCAGTTCCGAGGCCACATGGCCAAGTACATGGAGACCACCTTCCAGGACACGATGCACTTTGTACGTGAGGAGCTGGGTACGATGGTGGCAAAGCTGCTCCAGCCTCATGCGGAACGCCTCGACAGACAACAGGCCCAGCTTCGAGTGGTGCAAGCCAAGAATGAGGAGCTCAGCCAAGAGCAAGAGGCCCTCAAGGCATCAGTCAAGCAATTGCAGGACACCCTGGCCATCGCAGAGCAGCAGGCAGCTGCACCCATCGACGTTGCCAAGCTCATGGAGTGGAACCGCACCGTCGACCCCTCAGTCTTCATCCTGTCATGCGATGTGGCGGCGGCTCCGAATGACATATTCAGTGCACTTGACGAATGGTTGCAGGCGGCCAATGTATCCAGGGACCAGCTGCGACTGGTCGGCGACACCCCGCAGAAGAAGTTCATCCTGCAGTGCATCGGAGGTGCCGCTGGTATTGCTCGAGCCAATGCGTTGCAGACATCCCTCAAGTTACCTAATAATCAAGGCTGGCGCCAGTTTGAGGTGCTCGCTGTCAGCGGAGCTCGGATTGCCCTGCGCGTCAACCCTGAAAAGAACGCAAAAGACATTCGGGAAGAAGTTCAGACCAAGAAGCTGCTTGGACTGGTACGGACAGCTGCGGCATCTTCGACGGTGGCTGGCACGCGTTCTACTGAATGCTGGGCACGGAGACCGAAAGGACTGGTCTACATTGGGCAGACAGCAATCGTATCGGTGCAGGTTCAGTTTCCTGAGGAAGCTACGAAATTGGCATGGGACACACAGGCTGCAGAACGGCTCGGCATCGATTGGCAAGCGGTTAGCATTCAATTCAAAGACCTATGGAAGGAAGTTGACACATCAGATTTGACGTGTTCCTAATCGGCGTTTCGCACCGTGGGAACTCCAGGCATCCTCACACCACGTCGGCATTGTCTGCTGGAACGCCCACGGTCTTCTGTTGCGTCGGGATCCTGCACGGCGCCGCCGTAAAATTGCAATTGTGGCAGACCTTCTTCGCAAGCGCAATGTTGTTATCATTCAAGAGGTCCATGGTTTTGAAATCTCATTGACCAACTACCTGAACCAGTTTAACGTCAACTACAAGATTCATTTCTCGGGGACGGACCGTCCCAGTGCAGGCGGGGTGGCGATCTTGATTCCATGGTATGACGAGCACACTGCGGCGGCTGCTGGAGCGCCGGGTCTTCCTCGGCTTCGCCATCGCACACTGGACAATGGAAGAGCCATCATGACGAGCATCGAGAACCCTGTGACAAAGGGTGAGTTTCGCATCAGGAATATTCATAACTACGATATTTCGGAGGCGGGTCGCACAAAGATCGAACGGGTCTGGAAAGAATGTATTGCATGGTCGAAACGCGACCCGTTGAGGCACGCGTTCATTGTTGGCGGCGACTTCAACATGACTGTACCGACGGAGTCCATTCTGTATCCACAACCGAAACAAGCGAGGAGATCTGAGGCAGGCCGTGCCGACCGCTCGGAGCCATTCTGGCGTGAGCTCTTCAATGACGCGGCGATGCTTGAGGTTTGTTCTCCAATTCCGACCCACTACGCTGCGGATAACAATACCCTGAGAACTATTGATCGTTTCTTTGTGTCTATAGAGTCGGCCTTCGCCATTGAGACTGAGATGGGCGTGGAGGTGATCCAGGACGCCTTCACACTGAATGCCAAGCAGCTGAGCGACCATGCGATCATCAAACTCCGGATGGCTACTCGACGAACCTCTACTTCGGCCCACCAGCGCATCCCATCATTCATCTTTAAGAGCGATGAGTATCGTGCTGCCCTCGAGAGATGCATTGACGGATGCAACTATGAGTTTATGGAGCCGTACCGCCAGTGGGAGGTGATCAAAGAACTTGTGACGGTGGCGGCGGAGACGGCACGCAATGAACTCTTGGCCAAGGAAGTCACAAGAGAAGGTGATATCCCGAGAAGAGCGACCTTACTGGCCTTTGGCGCTGCGGCTCGCGCAGTGTGGCGCCAGGACGCGCGGCTGGCAAAGAAGCTGATCAACCACGCGATCGTCGGCGAGAGGGAGCTCTACATCGAGGGGCACGAGGTGAAGCTGAGACAGCCCGACACGTTCCACAACCGGGTGAAGGATGCGCAGGCTGCCATGTTGGGCCGCGAAGCTGCTGCACTGGAACGTCAGTGTGCAGGCCGCACTACCAGGCGGAATGCAACGGTGATGGCGCAGCGGGCCCTCCTGTGGAACAACACCAAGCGGATGCTGATCCTGGCTGGTGTGAGACAAGGCCAAATGACCAACAGAGCAGCGTCGGGGGCGCTGGCCGCTGAGGAGGTTGAGATTGCGAGGGATCCCAGCTCCATGGTAGAGGCTCTGAAGAAGCACTGGGAGCCCGCATTCGCGGCCTCCCCTGTACGTGAAGACCTGATCGGACCCTTCCTGGATCGCCACATGCCCGAGCTTGATAACGCGATGCTGCAGATACCCACAGTCGACAACCTCCGCTTCGTCTTCAAGCGGGCGAAGGACTCTGCTCCTGGACCTGACCGACTACCAGCTCGCGCATGGCGCGGCCATCCGCAGCTGATCATGGTACTGCACAGGGTGATGGAAGAGATGGCCAGCGGGCGGCGGCCGCCTGAGCACTTCAACGACTGCCTCCTGGCGTTTCTGCCCAAAGGCGACGAGCCCTCGGACCTCGTGGACTGCGCGAGATCTCATGAGTGCACGAGGCCCTTGGCTTTAAAGAACTCAGACAGTAAAGGTGTGGCCGCTGCGGTCAACCTGTATCTAGCTGGTGTCGTCGCTAGAGATACCCATGGAGTCCAGAAAGGGTTCGTTGCTGGAAGGAAGTTTGGCGAGCACATTGCTGCTCTCGACGCCGAATGTCGGCGGGCGGGGCTCCTTCCAGCGGCGGCCGAAAGACTCCCTGGGTTCTTTAGTTTCGATGTGCGTGCTGCCTTCCCGAGCATGTCTCAACTTTTCCTCCGTCGTACGCTTGGGCGGTTTCGTCTCCCCCCCTCCTATTGCAACATGCTCGACGGGTTGGCTCGCGACGCCCTCGGACACGCCCGCGTGGGTGAAAATGTAGAGCCACTTTTTTTCTATCGCGTCAGGCGCCCCCCAAGGGTGCCCACTGTCGGGGAGTCTCTGGGCGCTTGGTTTCGATCCCTGGGTGTGTTGTCTGGCCATGGCGTTTCCGTCGGAGCAAGTGGGGGCCCTCGGGGGGTGCGCCGGCGATATTGGCGCGGTCGCAATGACCATCCAGAGTGCAAAGCACATGCACCGCACTTTCGAGCAAGCCGAGCAGCTTGCCTCTCTCCAGCTCCTGCCCAGTAAGTGTTGTTTCGTCCCTCTCTGGGCCCCGTGCGATGAATTGACGATTTGCAGCGCGAGAGAGGCCCTCGCTGAAGTTGCCCCAGGGTGGGGGAATTTTAAAATCGTGGGCGCTGCGAAGTACCTCGGGGTTTGGCTCGGCCCTGAGGCCGACCTTCGGGCCCAGTGGAAAGCTCCTGGCCAGAAATGGTGGTCTCGGTGCCGAGAGATAGCGCTGTCTCGGGCACCCTCTGAAGCCTCCTGCCGTCTCTACCTTATGGTTGTTCTGCCGTGCCTCTCGTATGTTGCCAAATTTTTTCCTCCTGACCCGCGCCTCCTCTCCAGGGAAAGCTTGGCGCTGCACAAGCTGCTTCGCATCACCCCCCCCCCCCCCCCCCCAACTCATTTCGCATCGACGAGCTCCTGGGACTTGGTCGGTGGATGAAATCGGCCTCGCCACTGCCAGTAGAGCTCTCATGCATAGCCAACGCGTGGCGTGCGAGCCACATCGCATTCGGAGGATGGAGGAGTGTCGGTGAGAGATTGAGGACGGCGGCGGAGGATTTTGGTACGATCATAGACCTAGTGCGACAGGAGTGGTCGCCAAGGTTTTGGAAACGTCGTGTTTCAATCGCCCAGTTTTTCATGGCTCTCGAGGAGCCACTGCAATAATTTCCGTCGGGGATCCAGGCGAGGGCGAAACGGTCCCTTGTCACGATGTCGCGAATTCCCCGACATATCTTTCGTCGTGCCATCGCCGACGCTGCGGAGCCCCTGCGTGCTCCTGCCGCAGCCGACGGAGAGAGTCGGCGGAAAAAGGCCGGCCCCAGCAGACAGACTCGCCTCCTTCGGTCTCTCTGCGCTGTTCTGTTCCCTGACCCCATTCCTAACCTTCTCGCTCGTCGTCTTCCGAAGTGGATATTTGATCAGCAAATGCCTGATGCTGCGGAGCTTGCCAATCCTTGGTCGGCTCTCAAAGCTGTGCTTTCCTCCCGCCCCCCCTCTTTCGTTTGGCCCCATCTCAAGACTCTCGCGGGAGCGTGGATCACTTCCTCGCGTGTCGGAATTTTGACTCCTAAAGGATGCCATTTCGGGTGCAGCGAAGAGGTCCTAGGGATCGAAGTTCGCGCACCAGACTCGATTGGCC